AAAGACCACGATGTGCTGCCACAAGGGTTCATGTGAGAAGGTGGCTGCATGACTTGCGTTTTGGCAGTGCGGTGGAGAGAGCTGTTGGGTCACAGGGATGCTTTGGAATTAGAGCCACTGGGACTCCCTTAGGGTTTAGACAAGGATGGGTGACATGAGAAAAGCCAGGATGCCTCCTAGGATTGCCATTCGCATCCTACCACAACTAACTCCAGAAGACTGGTTGCATTCTTTTTGACTCTTGTGAATTTCATTCATGGGGAAAACACTAGAAATAAATGAGAATTGAGCTGCGACCCAGTAAGTTTGGGGTAGTGTGGGAATCCACATTACCAGTTTCATTTATCTGGTTCTTAGCTCTTGCTGCAGGGAACTGAGGACATGCTCAGATTATTGATCGGGTGACTTATTGATGGGGTTGCTTGTAAAGAGATCGAGGAGATGAGGAAGTTCTGAAACGTCCTGGTAGTTGCCCCGTGACACCCAAGGAGAACTGCAGCATGTCCCTTGTCACCTGCAGCAGCTCTGGAGACCAGACATCTTCCCATGCCAGCCACTAACCCATGCTGGACCTGATCCAGCTATGCTCTCTGCCTGTCCTTCTTCTGCAGCCATGCCCCCCTTGTTCTTCTCTCTCTGGGTCTCTCATTCCCAGCTCCTCAGCAGGGAGAGTCTGCTTGGATTGGCTGGTCCACCATAGCCCAAGTCTGCAGGGCAGAGGGCTCAGCCAGGCCTGACTGAGGCAGCTGAAGTCCTTGTGTCTCTCCTGAAGATCGTTGTCTTTAGAGTGTGCGCATGTTCTTGGCTTAGTCATGGCCAGAGGGTCATAGTACTCAAAGCATGCCTGACAGCTCAGGTGCTGAGAGCTACTTGTAATCTCTGAAGACATAGCAGCCACAGGATTCGTGGACTGTCCTATACACAAAAATCACATAATCTAGAAAGACAAATATCAGGTGGATGAGAAGGAGCTCATGTGGCAGATTAGGGTATCTGCTTCTCTTGGTGAAAGTATGAGGACCATAAAAAATAATCTTTTATTTGCATAATACTCTATAGTGACTTGAAAAATTATCTTTGGTACTGCTTCTTAGAGGGGCCCAGGGAGCACTACATTTGTCCACTGTTCATTAGTCAATCAAAGTGGCTTGTTAAAATGCACTTTCCCTGGGCCCTACCGCAGAATCATCCCAGAATGGAGAGCTATTCCCCAAGGAATATGAGTGTGGTCTACTTCCATTTCCTCTGCATTGACTAACTCTGACTTCACCATTGGTTTTGTCCATCAGTCCCTCTGAAGTTAACCACGGAAGAGTAGATTTTGTAAAATCTAATTCGATAGGAGTCTAGTTGCTATGACTGAATTGTGTTACTCTAAAATATGTTGAAGCCCTAACTCCCAGTGCGAGTGTACTTGGAAATAGCACATTTAGGATATTGAGTTAAATAAGGTTGTAAGAGTCACTGATAGGATTGATGTACTTATGTGAAGAGACACCAGAGAGCTCGCTTTCTCCCTTGCATGCCCGTACGGAAGAAAGGTCATGCTGGGATGCAGTGAGGAGGTGGCTGTCTGCAAGCCAGGAAAAGAGCCCTCACCAGAAACCTAATTGCCTGGGACTTTGGTCTTGGACTTCTAGCCTCCAGAACTGTGAAAAAAAATAAATTTCTGTTGTTTAAGCCACCTAGTCTGTGGTACTTTGTGTTGGCAATCCTAGTAGGCTAAGGCAATAGTATTTTCAAACAAGTTACTCTCCATGTACTTAGGGTTTCTTTAATGTATTTACATTTCCTTGGAGCTTATATGCTAAGAATCAGTCCTTCTGGTCCCCAAACGATGTAAACCAGATGGCATCACCACTGTGCTCAGAACCCTGCAATGACTTCATGTGGATTTTGTAATAAAATCTAGAGTCCTTCCCATGACCAATGTGGCCCAAACCCCCGCCTGCTGCTCCAGCTTCATTCCCAGCTCATCACTACTGGTCACCACTCTCCTGCCCCAAGCACATTCCCACCCCAGGCCTTTGCACTTGCTGTTCTCTCTGCTTGGAAGGCCTTTTCCTGCCATACATCTCAAATAGTGTTCCCAGCATTTTGTTCTCTCATCTTTCTTATTTTCTCAGTGCATTTATTACTAACTGATACTGTATTGTGTCTTTGTTTGTCTCCTCCACTAGAAAGTAAGCTCTATGAAGGCAGGGATTTATGTCTGTTTTGTCCATCACTGAATCCCCAAATAGTGCCTGGCACATAGTAGATGCTCAATAAATATTGGGTGAATTTATTCTAATCAATGCTTTCTGGAGGAACCACCACATCACTGTCTTATTTAGTAAGAACCGGGGAGCTGTTACAGGCCTAGTGTTTTGCCTGAGTCATACCCTTTACAAGATGATTATTCAGTCAGAGCCAACACTTACTGAACACTTGGTGTGCTGGAGAATGTACGAGATGCTAAGAAAATTGAACTTTGGCCCCTGTATTTTATAGGGCGAGAGGCAGCCAGGCAGAGCCCACAGAACAGCGGCAGTGCCAAGGTCCTCTTCGGGAGGGAATGGACACATTGCCCCTTCCCCTGAGAGAGTAGTTGACTCACAGTAGTGCTGTGGAGGTGTCAATGAACATGTCCATGGTCTCTGCAGAGAAATGGAACTTATGGGGCACCCAGATGGCCATCACCCATCCTGTCTCAAAAGGCTTCATATTTCTCTGATCCATTTGTGAGGAGGATTAAATGAGGGTGTGTTATACTAGACCCAGCTCCAGGCCCAGAGGGAGCCGGACTCACTGGTCTCATGAGGTTCTTTCCAGCCTCTTGACCTTTCTTATTCTGTGACCTTGCTGGGGATTCCTGGTTACACCTCTTACAGGCAGGAAGGCAGCTCCCGGGGAGTGGGAGTGAGGTCCTAGCTAGGGTGGCACCACGTGGTGAAGTCTGGGTCACACCGCTGGCTCCTCGCCATTTCACAAGCTGGAGGCTCCCACACTGAGCAGGTCCCACAGCTTCTTTGAAGGATTTTCCTTTGTGTGTTTATCAGATCTTGGATCTTCCACCATGATCAGCTTGTGGTTAGTTATTATCCAGATGAGCTGGGCGCCACCCGCAGAAATGCTTGGGGAAAGGAGAAGCCTGTGTGTGTGCACCTTATCGCTGTAGCCTCAGGTGAGCCCCTAGTGTCCACCGTGATGTTTGATACCAGCAGAGCTCGGCAGAGTCTCTGGAACCACATCCAGCTCCTTCTTGAGCCCTCAGATTCTGCTGCTTTTATAATGGTAATAACAAACCCGGAGGGGCAGAGGAGAGGGCACAGACTTTGGAGTCAGTTGGCTCTGGGTTCAGGTCTTACCTCCAGCATTCCTGCCTTTGTGCTTTGGACTAAATTCCTTAGCGTCTCTGAGCATTCTTTCCTTCCCTCTAGGATGGGAATAGTATAATCCTCTTACTTTAGCTGTTTCCTTCTCTAAGCCATCGAGCTTCAAATTGAGTTGGTCACTGGACTCGAGACCTCAAAAACTAGCCCTGTCATGTTTCTTTGCCTTGTGTGGGAAGCTGGACTCCATGACCCCTAAGTTTCCTGCCAATGCTGGAGCTATAAATTAATGTCAAGAACAAAATACCGTGGTCAGCAGGGCCATCTGGAGACCCTGGTGGACCCCACTTTGAGAGCCACTGTTCCAAGCATTTGCTCCTTTGAACTTGTTGAACCTATGTATTCTGGACTGGCTTCGGGGGCCCTGATAATTTTAGACTACTTGAAGGGTTTACTTTAGCTGAATTATTTCTGTGCCTTCTCCCACCCCTAAAATGAAGAGCCTCTACTTGCATTTGTAGCATCTATCCCCAGACTGGAGCCCTCATTTGTCCTAAGAAGGAGTTGAACTCCCAGTGCCCATGTGACAGGTGCAGAAGCAAAATCTGGATCCATTCCTAGACCTCAGCTAGGCCCCTGTGCTGGAGGAATAATGGAGTGGAGGGTAAAATCGGCATTAGTTTTGGAAGCAGACAGATCTCATTTGAAATCTGGGCTTCAGCTTTCACTGCTTTAGTAGTTTGAGGGTGTATTAGGCAATGTCTCAGTTTCTTTATCTGTAAAATGTGAATCAGAGATTGTTGTGAAGATTCAATTACAACATTTAAAGTACTTGGCACTTTGAACACTTACTAAATATCTCCTATATGCCAGGCACTACTGTTTTGTGCTGGCTCAAAGACTCATATCCTAGAGGGAAACAGACCAGTGGATAAGCAAATTTCTGTCCCCTTGTTTTTGAGTTTTCTGGTTTATAATGTGCTTTCACACACATCCGGTATTTTTTTTTTTTTTTTTTTGAGACTGGGTCTCACTCTCTTGCCCAGACTGGAGTGCAGTGGCATGATCTTGGCTCATTTCAGCCTCTATGTCCTAAGCTCAAGTGACCTTCCCACCTCAGCCTCCTGAGTAGCTGGGACTATAGGGGCATATCACCATGCCTGGCTAATTTTAAAAAAAAATTTTTTGTAGATACAAGGTAGATCTTGCCACATTGCCCAGACTGGTCTTGAACTCCTGGGCTCATGTGATCCTCCCACCTTGGCTTCCCAAAAGGCTGGGATCACAGGCGTGAGCCTGTGAGGAGAGGTCACTTAGCCATGATCTCATTGCCAGTGTTCACCAGGTTGGACCACAGGCTAGCTTCTGACTTTTAGCAGGATTTTCTTCTCCTGTACTTCTGCAGCTCAAAGCCTGAGCCACAGACTGGAAGCATCAGCATTACCTAGAAATAGAAATGTTGATCTCGGGCCTGACCCCAAACGTTCTGATTCAGAATCTGAATTTTAAGAAAATTGAGACAGCTCTTTAGTGTAGTGGCTAAATGGCAGTGCTGAAGACCCTGACTATCCAGATTCCAGCTCTGGCTCTGGCACTTATTAGTTCGATGACTTTCAGTAGATTAGGTAAATCTCAACGCTTCTGTGTCCTTAACTCCAAGATGGCTAATAAGAGTACCCACCTCACACTGACTGTTGTTTGGATTAAACAAGACAGTTGTTAAGAGCCAGCATTCCTTGAATGCTTGCTCCAGGCCAGTTGAGGTGTTCAGTGCGCCCCATGAGCATAGACTCATGCCTGGTGCACAAGCAGCCTCACCAGTGTTCACTTTTTCTTTACCTCATAGGACTCGAGAAAGGGACTTACTTCTCATGACATTTATGCAAAGAGGTGAACAGTTATTTCACAGTGCTCTAAAACTTTGATGAACCCCATGTTGACCATATCCCTAAATGCAGCATCTCACATGAAAGTTTTTCCAGCATTGGTATAATAATGGAATTGGCATCTGAAAGCGGATACTCATTGGATATTGTGAAATGCTCAGGGAAACTCTGTTTCAGCTTAAGGAACTGTATGATTCCCATAGAATGTAGTTTATAGACAGAATCATTTCAAGCTGAATAACCATGTCAAATTATAGGATGCTGGCACCGTCAGTTTCTAGTGATCATCACGTTCCACCATCTCATTCTGCCGATAAAAAAAATGAGGCTCAGAGAGGTCAAGTGGCTTGTCCAAGGTCACCCAGAGGGTTAATGGCAGAAACAGAGCTAGAAATGAGGGCTTCTCACTCTTAGCCCAGTTCTTCCTGCTGTGAATGTGTGTGCAAATTCTCATTCATTCATTCAACAAATATTTCTTAGGAGCGTACATGGTGCTGGGTGCTGTTTAGAAGCTGGAGATAAAGTGGTGAGCAGTATAGCAAGGTATTTGTCCTCTGCAGTTCACATCCTCATGTGAGAGTGAGAAAAAACAGTAAGTAAGAAAGGAAAGAACATGACTTCAGATGTACATGACTTCACAGGAGGGGACAAAACAGGGTAATATGCTAGCAATGATTTGGGAATAGTTGAACACTGCCAGAGAAGTCATCTCTGAGATAGTACATTTGAGACAAGCCATGAATAAAGTGAGTCATGAAGGCGTAGGGATTAGAAGCTTCCAGCAAGAGCCAACATACTCCTACCTCCCAGCTCGTACTCTTGGAACGCACTGTCACAGGTTGGCTTCCCCAGAAACAGACTGAGAAATGATGGATTTATGTGTAGGAAGTTCCTTAGGGAGGGAGGGGAACAGGGTGGGGGAGAGGGAAAAGTTGAACTGTGATGCAATTGCAACAAGGGCCTGCGTCCATGCGATAGAGTTCTGGAGCTGAATGGCTCTTTAGAGTTGTCCCACATTGGGGCCAGGTCTTGGTCCCCATGCAAGTGATCAGTCAGCAGATAAAGACTGCTCTTGGGAAAAGTGTATGGCCTTGGTAACACAACTCCCTTCAGAATTCCTGGGAGAGACTCAAGTGTGAGCTGTCAGCTGACACCATTCCCAACAGCCAGAAGGAAGAGTGGCTCCGTGATGGAGGGGACCTGGGCAGTACCACAGCATCCACTATAGCCTGTCATCAGGGCACCAAAGATGTACTGCTTGCAGGACTATCCCACTGAAGGAAATAAGAATGCCTTTCTCCTGGCTTATTTTTGCCTGGTTTGAATATTCATTTATTGGTCAGCTATCTGTTGACATGTACTGACTTCCAGCTCATGGAGTGGGCACAGAAGGGGCAGAAATGAATTAGGCAAATTTCCCCTCTTGGAGTTTGCAGGCCTTTGTGGAGACACAAGTAGACAGTTAGATATGTATTTCCATGTAGCTCTTCCAGTCAATGAATTGTACAGAATGAGAGCTTGACATAGAGTGCATCACACCTGAATACGTTCACTTTCATTCAATGCACAGAGGTCATGGAATCTGATAAACCCATTTGATTAGCTTCTTCTGGGAAAAGGAATGAGGGAAGTTGGAGAGATTGCCCTGTACATGCAAATGGTAATAAAAGTAACTAATACTTATGAATGCTTATACCGTTCTGAAAATTACATACAGATCTTTCTACTTTACAAATGAGGAAATTGTAAGAGAAAATGAAGAATTCTTGAGTTTTTTTTTTTAGCTGGAAACATGAAGGCAATTTTTTTAAAAAAAGGCTAACAAGTCTAACATTATACGGACTCTTCAAATTTATTTTTGACCTTTGTTCAATGTATGGGAATATATTTTATAGTTTTTGTCAGTTGAAGTTTATATGTAGTTGCTTCTGTCATTTATATCTGCTGTTTTGTTATTTTTATTATTTAATTTTTTATTTATAATTGTATTTATTATATGTTGGGGTTGCATTCTCCCCCCTTAATTCTGCATTTCTGAGAAGCAAGAGGAACAATGACTTCCGTGTACAGAGGTTTCTGTTTGGCTGTCTAATGGCTGCTGGTCTGGATTTATATCTGAGCCATTTTCAGGGCCTGGGACAAGCAACAGAGCTAGCTAGGGTGGAGACAGAGAGGGACGGTCAAGGTGAAGTCTCTGGATTTTCTAACTCAAGTAAATTGATATACATGAAAGAAATTGGAAAATGACAAAACACTACGTCAATGTGATATTTTTGGTGTGTCATCATCATCTGGATTTCTGTAAATGTGTGTCAGGTCTGATTCCATTGTCTTTAGATAAAAGCAAAGACTTTTATAGGATGCCTGCTATATTAAAGTGGGTATTGTTTCCATTAAATAATCCCCTCATGACGCTTCCACTCCATTCATGATGTAGTGCCAGGTCACCGATGTGAATGCCTGGCCTGGCTAGGCAGGTTAAGCCAGTGGATCACAGGGATGGGCTGGGAGAGGGGTGGCAGCTGCAGAGCCTGGACCACCAAGGGAGGCCACCCCTGAGCCAGCTCAGGTGAGCTCTGCCTTGCAGGAGGCTTGCACAGTGTTGGCCAGAATTACAAATTTTTAATGTAAATTCTGAGTTTTAGCTGACTCACTTGGGCTTTTATAAAATACTATGTATGCCAAATAAAACATGCCCATGGACTAGAAGTTAAAGGGCTGCACTGCACGTAAGCTCTGACACAGTGAAAGGGATTCTGGTTGGGGAATTAGGGGATTGGACGGGGTGCAGGGGGCTGGACACATGACATTTGAGGAGCCTGAGTTAGTACTTCTCACCCTGAGGTCTCGGGCAAGGCACATGTTCACTATCAGCTTTCGTTTCTTCATCTATACAATGAAGCTCTTTCAGATTCTCATAATGTGCAGGTTAGCACCTAACACAATCTGAGTGTAGCACCAAATACATGAATTTATGGTCTCAGTGATTCAGTCAGGCAAAGTGGAGAACGACTGGCTTAAAGTATCTCTTAGAAATGCCTTCAGAAACTGTGGTCTATTCTTAGAAATCCCAGGAACGGCCTATTCATCGTTTAAAGGAGGGGGTCATATTTTGGAAACAGTCGAAAGGCAAAGTTTATCAACTCAAGCAGCTAATGCCATTTGGATTGTTACCAAAAAAGTTAGTTAGAAGTTCTAAATAAGGAGAGTAAATCCCTGGTGTGGTTAGAACTTGGCTCTGAGGAAGGCAGTTTCTTCCAGTGATCATTGTGAACATCTGCGAATTGCAGACATGACGTTGCAGCTGTGAGGGGGAGCGGGGAGTCCTGCAGCCCAGAAGGGACACTGGATGGCCACCCAGTGCTGTGGCCTTGTGAGGACCCTCTAAACTCTTAACTACCCCAGCTCCTTTACTCTGGTCCAGAGTGACTGCTTGCACAGTGGGGTTGCACGGGGAGCTGGGCATCATCCCAGGAGCTCCTACATGCCAGGGGCTTGTTCTTCATTTGCTGGGAAATTATAAATAAAATAGTGGACACTTTTCAAAGATGTTATTTGATGTCAGTGTTTGAAGAAGCCAAAGAGCTGTCCTAGGAGTGACAAGTCCTCTGACTTCTCTGCCTTTCCTCTCCCTCTTCCCTCCCTTCCCTGCCTCCTGTCCCTCTGGGGTCCTCCTCTACTGACTCTCTCTCTCTACCTTACCCTACACTTCTTTTTCCAAGAAGCCTGTGGAAAAGGGAGGTCCTAATGAAATTGCCAGGTGAATTTGGATCAATGATTTGTAAGAGCAGCCTTGAAAAAAAATCACCTTTCTCATGTTCTTCACTATGATGTGGTTCTACTGGAATAATTGAATTTCTGGAGCATTTAATGTATTATTAATGATCTAGATCTGTGGCCCGTGGCCCCTAATCAGCTGATAGACTTGGATCCCTTCTCAAATAAATGGCAGTATTCACCCAAAAATGGAAACAGCTGCTTTGGTTAGGATGGGGGAGGGGAGAGTGGGACTGACTTAACTCATTCCTCACTGTCCCCAGCCCACCCCCTTCCCAGCAGTGTTTCGGGATCTTTCCTGGAACCTCTGTGATGCCTTAAAACAATGTAAAATCCAACTAATCTAGAACTAGGCAGAAGAGGGGCATTCACTTGCAGGTGATGGTAAATTGGTAAAGTTGGCAAACAGCAGCAGGGAAGAGGCGTCACCAAGCCAGCCAAACAGTGATTCAGAAAAACTGTCAGGCTGTTTTTAGGTTTTAGGTAATGCCAGTAAGGATATCAATAAAGTGCTCTTGGTGACTATTGGAAAAAGCGATTTTAATGTAGATTTGTGGTGGAGCAAGAAAGTGCCTCTCCGAGAAAGCTCGGGCCAAGCTCACGTCTCTTACCTGTTCCTGGAAGAATACACTGACTTTTGCCATCAGCAGCCCCCTGGTACCCTGGGCTTTGGAGCAGCCTGGTGACCACCTTCCTGGGTGTTTCTCCTGTTAGCTACAATAGAGGCAGCAAAAAGCTCCAGGTAGAGAAAAGAGCTGGCACTTTAGATTCAAACAGATGAATGTAGGTTCCATGGGAGCTGGGGAAGAAGCCACACCTCTTTGAGCTTCACTTTCTTCATCTGTAAAACAGCGGTAATAAGTCCTCCTTTGAAGAATAAATGAGTTAAGGTGGCCAGCTGGGTACCAAGTGCACGGCAGGGCTCAGTCACTGTTAGTCCAGTCCACTATTGCCTGAGCAGCTTTTGAAGTCAGTAACCTCTCTGCCTGATTTTATTAAACCAATACAGGCTCATCATAGAATATTTGAAAATGGTATTGAGCTATAAAGAAGAAGAAAAAAAATCACCCATTATCCCACCACCTAGCAACAGCTACTGTTAATGTTTTGGTGTATTTCCTTTCAGTCTTGTCTATGTGTATATATATATATACTGATAAATGATTTTTACCATATATGCAGTTTTGGATTCTCTTATTTTTCTCTTAACGTATCAGGAACATTTTCCTGTGTCATTTACAATTTTTTTGGAAACATAATTATTGGCAGCTGCATGACATTGTATGATTGGATCTACCAGAATTTACTTACCTACTTCCCTAGTAGTCATTTAAGAGGTTTCCTATTTTTTGTTATTTTCAATGATCATTAATAATGACATCAGTTATCGATGTTGCAATGAACAGCCCTCTACATATTCTTTAGGCCCTTCTCTGATTCTTGTATTAAAACACATTCCTAAAAGTATATTACCGGGTCAGAGGGAATATAAGGTTCCTGATATATTTATGGCCAGACATAAAGGTGGTATCCATTTACACCCCTGAACTGGGTTTTGAAAGATGAAAAATTTCTTAGATGATATTTTCTCCTCTGTAAAATGTAAAATCACAGCATGACCCTGAGAGAGTTTCCCTGGGCCCTGAACGGGTTTGCGCCTGTGAGTAGTCAGGGTCCTGGCCCAGTGCCTGGTTCCCCTCTCCCTTTATCTTCTCTGTGGCTCAGCCTTTTTGTCTTAGGAGATGAACCACATTACAATTACACACTCCTTAAAAACCCAGGGTGCTGGGCACAGTGGCTCACACCTGTAATCCTGGCACTTTGGGAGGCTGAGGCGGGTGGATCACCTGAGGTTGGGAGTTTGAGACCAGCCTGACCAACATGGAGAAACCTCTTCTCTACTAAAAAAATACAAAATTAGCCAGACGTGGTGGCACATGCCTGTAATCCCAGCTACTCTGGAGCCTAAGGCAGAAGAATCACTTGAACTCAGGAGGCAGAGGTTGCAGTGAGCCAAGATCACGCCATTGCACTCTAGCCTGGGCAACAAGAACGAAAACTCTGTCTCAAAAAAACAAAACAAAAAAACAGGCATCTCACATCCATGCAAGCACACTTGAAGCCCTGAATAAGTACAGCTACTAATGCAAAATCAAGCACTCTGTTTAGGAT